AGAATCCCTCCAGCAGAGTCCTTGCCGTTTGGGGTTCAGAATGTTGAGAGTACGAATTCGAACTCCAACTGGGAGATGGTGATGAAGTGGATAAAGGCCCTGATGGGTGAACCAGATAGCTGCCTCTGGTTAAACGGCCCAGTTGACCATCAAGCAATGTTTCACTGATTACTTTATCAACAAACATTAGCTGTTGCTGAGCTAATTTCCTTAATTTCACAGCGTATCCCTTTTCCAATATCAAAAACTCATCGTCTTCAGCTTCCAAATACCGCGTGGCCTTTGTAAGGAGATCATGTGATGAAGGGGCCGACTTTCTCTTTCTGCTAGGTTGTGCAAACGGTGCAAACGAATTGACTGTGGGTGTAGGTCCTGCAGAAGTTGATGGAGAAGATGGGGCAGCCTATAACAAAAACATAAATATCTGTTACCTAAATCATTATTAAATTAAATAATTAAATAGTTATTTTAATTTCTGATTTTAGCTTCCTAAAAGTGAAGAAGAGTGGAAACAAGTAGCTCATGATTTCGAAGAAAAATGGTAAATTCCGCACTGCCTTGGTGCAGTTGACGGAAAACACATTCAGATAAAAAAAACCTTGCGAATTCCGGCTCTCGTTACTTCAACTATAAAGGAACATTCAGCGTTGTATTGATGGCAATAGTTGATGCAAACTACGAAGTTTTGTTGGCTGATGTTGGAACAAATGGAAGAATTTCTGATGGAGGCGTTATTAAAAACACGGCTTTCTACGACAGTCTCAAAAAAGGTGAACTGAATATTCCACTTCCCGAGCACCTTCCAGGAAGTAACAAAACTGCTCCGTATGGCTTTGTTGGGGACGAGGCATTCCAGTTACAAGATAATTTCATGAAACCCTATTCTTTTTCTGTGCTTAATCATGAAAGGCGCATTTTTAACTATCGCCTTTCTAGAGGAAGAAGAATTGTTGAAAATTTTTTTGGAATTTTAGTTTCCAGATTTACAATATTTCAAAAACCCATCAATCTATCGCCAACTAAGGTCAATGCCATAGTTCTAGCGTGTTGTTATTTGCACAATTTCTTAAGAAGACATTCTAGTAGTTATATCAACAATCAACCGCCTGTTTGTTATCAAAATTCGCTCGACATGGAGTCTCGAACATCCTCAAATAGTGGAAGTCTAATTGGTATGAGAAACGGCAGCAGTTCATGTTCCTCTAG